GAGGGGAGGGGAGGGGAGGGGAGGGGGGAAGTTATCTTCCCATGCCCCTCATATCCAGATGACAGAGTGGGGGTCACTCAGAGCAGGGAGAGGCTCAGCACCCCTGAAAGAAAGTTGATCACTCATTCCATGGGGACCTTCATACATATGCAATAAAATTCTGTCCTAGAGATGTCCTGAGCCTGTAACTGAAGCTCCATCTGTTTTTTATGTTTGTCACAGGGCTTCAATTGGACTGCCATTTTGATTTTTTTGACCACACCCCTGAAGGGTCACTGCTGATGCACGAACCATAATCGTGCCAATGTACCCCTTGCCATTCCAGCCACCTGCAAATCCTTAACAGAATCAAGGAACACCCTGAGAGCAAACCCACCCCTGCAAAGCTTTCATCATCAGTTTATGGCCCCATACACAGGCTTCCTTAGCCCGGGCACACTCCAGGTACGTGGACTTCAATGCCCAGAATCCCCCAGGGGAAATGGCCCCTCCTGTGAATTCTGGGTGGGAGTCCCCATGCATCTGGGAGGGAGCCATGTTGGGGACCAGAGACGTCCACAGGGTCCCCAAAAGGCAGAATTTCTACAGAATCTGTATGATCTTTCATCATCCCTCCCCACCAAATCTCCTCTTATGTCTATTTAATTTAATTTAAGCCACTTAGGTGCAAATTCAGAAGTAGCATCAACTTCAGAAAACATTCGAGCATTCCCTAACCACCTTGGCTTAAATTTGTTTATTTCATTCAATTTATATAACTGCATTATATTTAAATGCAGTTCTAGAGAAAGCCCAAAGATAGGAATTAGCTGTTTTTAATTAAGCTCTTAGCAGGGGACAAGGGTGTTCTCGGGGTGGTCAGAAAAGTCAAGATGGCCACCACGTGCCCATAAAAAACTGGCAGAACTTTGATTGCACCATTGTGACTGCCATCTTGACTTTTTTGACCACACCCTGCAGACATAAATACTGCCAAGGGGAGGCTTCAAAACCAGGAATTGTGACCCTGAAACAAGAGACAATTTGAAGAGAACTCTCTTAAGCATGACTTGAACCAGAATAAATGAAACATAATTTTTTTACATATATCTAAAAGTACCTTTGATAGGCTCCTTTCCTTCGCTTTGCAATCCAGTTTTCGGGTTGGGATATTTCAGAGGTGGGCCGAGAATGTTTCTGGCCAGTTTTTGGCCTTCCCTCCAAGCAGATGCACCAAATAAATTAACAGCTGGAATTTAAGCACAAAAGAGGAAGCATTCAGGAATATGTATTGTCAAAGGCTTTCATGGCCGGCATACGATGGCTGCTGTGGGTCTTCCGGGCGGTGTGGCCATGTTCTGGAAGTTTTGTTTCCTAACGTTTCCCCCGCACCTGTGACCCACAAAAGGGTCATATCACCCTGGGCACAGAGAGAACT